CTTCGCTTTAGTTATGCACAGTGATGTCAGATTCACAGGGGTGTCCTGTGTTCCACGCCTAAGATCTGAGGTCCAGAGAGGCTGAGCAAGCTCTACTACGTAAAGAAAACAGACGACCCGGAAAAATTCAGACCCCTGACTCAGCAGCCATGCTCTTGGGGTGCCCTGGCACCTGCTGGGATTCATCAGGATTTGGCTGAATAACTTTGGGGAGCAGCCATGCTCTTGGGGCACCCTGGCATCTGCTGGGGTTCATCAGGATTTGGCTGAATACCTTTGGGGAACACTTTGCCTCTTTAGACTTCAGTTTCCTCAGCTCATCAGTTCCCCGAGTGAACTCGGAAGGTTGATAGATCTTAAGGTCTCTGTGTTGAGGCTTTTGTTTTCCACTTTTGTTTGTTTGCTGTTTTTCAATCCCCCTTAAGGTATCTGAGGTCACAGATAAAAGTAACTACACAGTCAGCTCCTTTCCGGCATCTGTCCAGAGAAGTGCTTGGTATAGAGTAGAGAGCACAGCAGGAGACGACCACCAAGGGGCTGGGTTAAGAGCTTCCTGGACCTAGATGAGCCTCCTGCACTCCCAGCAGGCTGGTCCTGGGCCAACCCCAGGTATCTGTCAAGTGCAGTAATTTAACTCATGGCAGTAGCCTGGCTACGGTATGAAAAATAGGGTAATTCTCATGTGCAATGACTCTCCTGCCCCCTCTCCTGGACCATTCGTACCTGTGGGCCCAGGGTTTGCCAGAGGTGCCACCTTTCCCAGTGGCTCCCCAAAGGTAGTGATGCAGAGGAGAAGCAGTAGCTGCCAAGAAGCCAGTGCAGTCATTCTGGCAGGAAGAGGCAGGTCCACGATGTTCAGAGGCTGAGTGAGACAGAGAGAGGCAAAAAGTCTGGGTCAGAGTTAGTCCTGTACCAGAACCCAGGTCGAAGAGAGAAACTGGGGGAGAGGGAAGCCCTGTGACCAGAGACGACCTGTGGGGGGGAGGGGATAAGCCTGAAATGAGACCACAGGGAACAGGACTGCAGGAGCGGGAAAGGAAGGACAAAAAGGAAGGGTCAGTCTTGGTGGAAGGGGTAAGCTGATGACACTGGACAATGGTGGGGTTGCTGGTCATTGGTTTGCTGGAGAGAGATGTGGAAGAAGGAGAATAAGGTGCTGTGCATGGGGTTGATCAGGGAATGGAGGTAGATGAGATCAAGTGGAGTGTGCCGTGCATGGGGGTGACCAGGGTGGGGAGGTGATCAGGGAGGGGAGGTAGATGAGATCACGCAGGAGTGTGCCCATGGGGGTGACCAGGGAAGGGGAGGTAGATGAGGTCACGCAGGAGTGTGCCCATGGGGTGACCAGGGAGGGGGAGGTAGATGAGGTTGGCAGGAGTGTGCTCTGAGGTTCAGCTATTCTCCTGGGATCCTGGGATCCAGCCCTCCTCCCCTTAGTGCTGGGATCTGTGTAAATGCGCAGCTTTTGGTGCTCGCTCCCCAGGGTACACACACCTTCCGCAATCTGGCCTTAGCCCTCCTGCTAGAACAGAAATCCAGTTCCTTATCTCTTCCAGGAAAAAACGAAGAAGGAAGGCAATCATCTTACACATTCTCAAAGCTCTCCGCAGTCTTGGAGACCATCATCAAATTGTCTTATTGCCTGCAATTCAAGCGGGAAAAGCCTTTCTCTCACCTAGCCCATCAGATGCTTCTATTCTCAGGGGCTCTGGGATGTTGTCAACTCAACTGGCCTCATCAGTTTGACTGCTGAGATAGGAGCTGTGTAGCCTGACCCTCATCCAGCCACTCTGCCTTCCTCCTCTCCTGCTCCCTACTCCACCCCACTTCTCCAGCTCCCAAGGCCAATTTTTCTTTGAAAAACTCATCAGCACTTTGAAACTGTCCAACAAATGGGATTAAGGACAAAGTGTCCAGGAGGCTGGCGGCACCACAGGTTGAACGTAGGCTTCTGTCCAAGGACAGGGGTGGGGAGTATCATTGTGACCCATTTCCGGAGTAGTTTCTCAGCACCATGTATCCTGCCACTGTGCCCCCGCCTCGGTCCCTCCACCCAGCCAAATGCAGACTCACATGGAGTGGTGGGTAAGAACCCTCACTCGGCATGGGCAACTATTTGGCACTGCACAACCAATTGGTGTGCTGTTCTATGTGGAAGACCACCTCTCCCACCCCCAGCTTCCCAAGGCTGTCTATAGTTCCTTTTAAAGTAAGGGAATATGGAAGCATCGTAACAATTCTAATCTTTACAAAGCAAAAAACGACTATGAAGTGAATGGCTATAAAGACAACACTATTTTCACATGCTTTAGGATTGTTTCCACAAAATCCGTGGACTCAGTGTCTTTCAGTGATTCCACACTGCTCTTTAAAAAGTTTGGAACTGGTCACGTATCTAAGCGTCCATGGGCTGAGCAGAACCAGGTTCTCCACCATCTGACGTCAGCTTTCTCGTGATTGCAGTCATGGGCAGTGTGCGGCTCTTGTGGTACCCTGATTTCTACTTCAGGGCCTTTGTATTATTAACCTCGTGTCTCTTCTCTACCTGTCATTGATTTTGTTTGCTTTTGTTTAGCCAATGACAGTGATAGGTTCCATGAGTTTTACCCCAAGTTAAAAAAAATAAAAAAATCCTGACTCCTAAATGCTCCAGCTTTCCCCTCATCCCATGAATCATGAGTAGGCCACGCCCATTGACTATTCACCAGGGCACCAGCTGCCTGCTCAGACAGCTACTGACTCAGTGACACCCTGAAAACCAGATACGTTCTGCAGCTGCCTTAAGGCCTGAATAGAATGTGGGGTAGAGTCCAAATCCAGTAGGCAGAGCCTTGGTTATCAGGGCCAGTGTAAGGCATTGCTGGCAACTGTCTCCTGCCTAGGGCTGTGCTAGGTGCTGGGTGCTGAGGATGCTGGCACAGAGTACCTCTGATCTCAAGTTTAGTGTAAGAAGTTGGCTCATAGGCAGCTTAGAGGAGGAGATCACTTCAAAATAACACCAGACACATGTTAAAATCCAGATGATGACAGCTGGGATGCCCAGCCTGGGGGGTCCAGGCTGCTGGTGGCACCTGAGCAAGCGTGTACCTGATGAAGCCCGATGAAGAAGACTTGCAGAAGCCACTCACCTCAGGGGATCTGCGTGGACTGGTGCCAGGGTGCTGGAATGGCACACAGGGGTGGGTATGGGGGATACAGAGCTAGAGCTCTCTAGGGAGGGAGAGGCATCCCAGGTCTATCCCAGAGAGGCCTGAGGAGGGCAGGACTGTATTAACACGCCGTATCAGACTGGTGAAAGCCTGGTGATCCTAATGTCTACCTCTCTGTCCCTGTAGTGCTCTGCCCCATCAGGGACAGTGCTTCTCATTTGTACCATGCGAGAACTCTGCCTGCCCCCGACACACCCTCACCCCACATAAACACACACACCACACATAAAGCACACACAAACACACTATGTACGACATGGGCTGGTGAGATGGCTCAGCAGATCAATGTGCTTGCTGTCAAGCTTGACGATCTGAGTTTGATCCCTTGCGCCCACAGGATGAGAGGAGAAAACCAACTCCCACAAGCTGTTCTCTTGACTTCCATATGTGCGCTATGCTCACACACAGACACAGCAAAATAAATAAGTAAAAAAATGTACAGCACACATACCCGGAATACATACCACATATCTCCCACACTCACCATACACGTCACACGCATGCACACATACGGACACCCCAGACCCTGGTAACTTTTAACTGCTTAGTCTACAGGCCACGTGTGCATGAAGTAGAACTTAACTGAAAATCAAGAAGAATAAACCTGCGCGCGCGTGAGCACACACACACACACACTCCAGGATAATTTAGCCAGCCTGGCAGTCTGGAACAATCAGAGCTCCTTGCTTTTGGCTTACTTGATGTTTCAGCTGGCCTTGGACTGAAGTCTGTTCTCCCAGACTTCCCTAGGTCAGGGCAGTCCCAAGCGCTGTCAGCAGTGTACCTACCTTGGCTGGGTTCCGGCAGGAGGGCTGGAGGGAGGAGAGCCACTTGGGTAGTTGGAACACACCGAGAGAAGCCACTGGCTCCTGGGTTTACTCTCACTGGTCCCTGGTCGCAGCCCCTTTTATGAGGTCTAGGTGGGTGACGTCTCCAGGCGCAATCCCACCTCTGCCCTCCCAGGCCCTCCTTGGGACTCCACGCCCTGCCGCCAGCTTCCGCCTCCTGGCTGTCACGTCTGGATCCGGCGACTTCCTCGCCCCCAGAAACCATCCAAGGCTGCTCTCAGAAACTCACTAATTCTTCCAGCCTCTCCATCCTCTTGAAACCCCCTCCCTTGCAGCTGGAGACTCATTCTGCCCCAAACAATGAAGAGAAAATGACGGAGGAGAGTTTACGTGAAATGTCTTATCCCTCTCTGCCCACACACACACACACACACACACACACACACACACACAAGTGAATAGGAGACACAGGCTGGAGGAGGAGGGGAAGGGCACAGCCTGACCCAGAGGCTCCTCCATGCCCACATGCTGCCCTCTCAGAGAGAAACGGGGTCAGATTGGCCTCCATCGGGGCAGTTTCTGAGCTGTGAATTGAGAGTGGGGGTGGGGCTGGACGGGGGGTCTCCTCCCCTCCTTTCCCCTTGATTACAGAGCTCCTGCATGACGCAGGATTTGACACGCATGTGATATGACATGGTCAGACGTGCTGGACAGTTATATAAGCAGTTGGCTGTCAGGAAGGAAGGAGGCTAGAGCTGGTCATAGCAGCCCATACATGGAATTCTTCCTCCTGATGGTCGAGACAGAAGGATGATAAGTTTGAAGCCTGGTCAGGCTGGGTGACAGAGTGAGATATTGTCTCAAAAAGCGGTAGCCATAGTGGCACACCCCGGCACTTGGGAGACAAAGGCAGGTGAAGCTATGAGTTTGCAAACAGCCTATTCTGCATAGTGAGATCTTGTCTCACCCCTAAATATAATAATACTACAAAAGGAAGGAAGGGAGAGGGAACATCCATTTTATACTTGATGTGGCCAAGCTGGCCTTGAGAAAGTAAGTGTGGAGAGTGGGCAGCATTTGGTGCATGGAGGGCGTGGCCAGCCTCACTGTCGGTATTTCCTGGCACCTACTCTACTACTAGGCAAATAAAGAAAGGGGCTCAGTGGGTGCTCACCATGACTCTGCCCCTGCCCTCCCGCTTTCTTCCCTTACGGATTCTGTTCTTGTTTTTTTTTTTTTAATTTTTATTTTAGACCAGGGTCTCACTGTAGCCTTGGCTGTCCTTGAACTCACAGAGATCCCTTCGATTCTGCTTCCCAAATACTAGGATTAGAGTCTGTGCCTCCAAAACCTGGTCTGCACCTTTCTTCAGTGTACATGAATCCCTTTTAAGAAGTATAGTGCGTCATATGTATAATCCCAGCACTCAGACACTTGACGCAGGATGGTCGTGAGTTCCAGGCCAATCTACAACCTTGCCTCAGAAAAACAAAACAAAGAAAAACTCCTTACCGTGAGACAAGGAACTCGCCAGAACAAGAACCAGCTCCTCTGTGGGGCTTGGTTCTCTGAAGGCAATGGCGCCATCCACCCCCAAACAGAAGGTGGTTTTGGTGCCACCTCTACCTGCTATGCCCTATGTGGAGTGGTCACCTCATGGCTGAGATGCTCTTCCTTATGCTGCGTGGGCTTAGTTCCCATTGCTCGCCTAACATTAACTGAGGCTTAACATTATAGCAGACCCTTCAAATGTTAAATAACAGCATGAAAATCACACCAGGGACAGGGTCCGACTCTTAGAGAATGCAATTACACCTTGTGGACTCGCTCGAGGTTGGAGGAGGTGCTGCAACCCGTCCTAGGCCTGGGGTGGATATTCTGAACTGGAGACATCAACCCCGAATCTCAGACACATTCACAGCTTCAGCTTGAGGATTTAATCTTCACTCCCTGCAGAAACTTAGGTTAGGGATGTTGTTTCCAGCCTCAGCTGGCTGTCAAGGACAAGATCTCAACTCCTGGAAGCCTCTTGGGAGAACTTGGGGGTTTAAGGTCAGTCACTCAGCTCCATCTTTCTTCCGGACTTGGAGATGCCCACGTGTGAGAGGAAGTAAGTCAGTGCTGAGGAGGGGATTCACGAAGATAACCCCCGTCCCCCTTCCAGCCCCTCCGCCAACAATCCAAGCTCGAGAAGTGCACCTCGCCGGTTCAGACCATTGAGCTGGAGCCTTGAAGCTTCTGCGACAGCTGTGGGAGCCAAGAATCATTATCCCAGACAAAGAGTGGGAAGCAGACTCAATATCCAGGCTATTACCCAGCCGACCTTGAGATGCGGGGCTATGATGCACTAGGCATGGAGAGTGGTGGAGGGGTGTGCCCAGCTGGCAGGCGCTCCAACATGTGGGTTCTGGCCCCCTTCCTGGATGCCTCAGTGTGGAGCCATCAGGTACTTCAGAGGCGGGTGTGGGCCCAGAGCAGGCTCTGTTCCCTGCCTGACTTGATGTCACCAGCTGTCATACATCCCCGTGGCTCAGGCTTAATCAAGTGTCCCAGAAAACACATCTTGTCTGGGTCACCTAAGTTTCTTTTCTTTGGCTGGGGAGCTGTTAATGGCCGCCTCCTCTCCACCTACACCTTAGCCACTCCAACCTCCAGGGCCCCACTTTTGATTTTATCAAGTGGAGAAGGAGCAGGGAGGGGAGGAGAGTGAAACTGGGGTGCGTGGGTCTCAGAGAGTACGGGGGGTGGGGTCTGTGGCACTTAGGATAGCACTTTAAGCAGTTCCAAGTGCTCTCTCACCCCAGACACCACTGCCAGGCCCAGGTTCCCTCTACTCACAGTGCTCAGGAAGGAGATGTTGGAAGCACTGCCCAGGAATCCAAAGGCCACAGGGAAAAAGCTCCTAGGAACAGAAGAGAGGACAGGGGTCAGTGGTGGCCCAGGAGGGGAGGAGGAGCATAGCAAGACTGACATCTCTTACTCAAAGGCTCAGACTTTGGCTCCTGGGAGAGCAGCCACTGGGCCCTGGGGAAAGACCTGTCCTGGGCTCTGTTGAAAGCAGCAGCAGAATAAGTGACTGAGAATCGCGGGCTGAGCTCGGGTGTCTTAAGTAGTACTAGTACCTACGTCATAGGCCTCACATAAAGCCAAGCTGAAAGGGCACACATCTTTGTGACCTCCTCTCCTGATGATTATCCTGGCCCGATGCCCTCTCTTTGCTAGATGGGTAGGGAGCAAATGCACCGAGTCACTGAGCCCCTGGCATGGAAGGAGGCCGGAGTTTGTGTCTGTGGGGGCACAGCCTTGTGCCTCAGCATCCCCTTGCTGAAGCTACTTTTGCCTTTTGTAGGGCTTGGAGGCAGTCAGGTTGGGGAGTGAACCCCCAAGGTCCTGGGTGAGTGAGGAGATTAGAGATTTGAATTTTGTTGGGGTCCAAAGCCCCAACATAAACTACTTTTCCCTCTCTGGATTGGCCTTGGAGGCGTGGGAATAATTGAGACACAGTTCACACAGCCATATTGGAAGGGAGTCTCAGGGTTCATTCATTCCTGAAGATCACCCGCATTTATTATCCAAACACCTTTTATCCCCCAAGGTAAGCTAAGGTAGAAGTTCATTAACATGGTCTTTCCAGGAATATCAGGACTATAGTCACGGGAGCAGCTTGGCATTCACACTTCTTCTCAGGCGATCTATATAATTACAAAAGAGGAGCAGGACATCCTGAGCTCTTGTTAGGTAGCCACAGCCTGTCTAGAGGGTACGTGATTGCTTTGGCTTCCAACGATGGCCAGAGAACTTGGCTGTCAAACCATGTAGAAATAGGGGCCTACAGAATTGACCTGGCCACTTCTCCCTAAACCATAATATACTAAGGCAGAGGGGGCTGGTACTCACTTGAAGAGGTTAACAAATCCATAGGCCTCCAGGAGCATGCCCAGAAGGGGCCAGCGCAGCAACACGATGGCTACACCCCCCAGGAAGAAGGTGGTCCCCTTGAGCTTGTGTCGTTGGAAGAAGAAGGAAAACGTCCTCCTCAGGCCGATGATGAGGGAGAGGCCAGTCAGGAACAGCAGCTGCAGGCCCAGGGAAGAAGTGAGGACAGAGAGGTGGTGTGTGTGTGTGTGTGTGTGTGTGTGTGTGTGTGTGTGACCCAGTAGCGGGGCAGAATCCCAGAACTGGAAAGGGCTCTGGTTAGTAGGGCATAGAAATGCCATGAGGCAGAGGGATGGACTTGAAGGCCTTTTATTCCCACCCAGTTCCTCAGCTCCAAGCTCTTCCTCATATAGAGGCTGTTGTGGAATGGAATCTTCCCCCTTTAACAGAGGAGAAGTTGGTACCCAAAGTCTCTGAAGGGTCCCCACTCTGTGGTTCTGCCAGAACCTTCAGCATGGTTTCCAGTGCTCCGTTCACGGGGGCCCAGGCTCCCATATAATACAGCTTTTTTTCTAGAATGTTCCCTGCCCACCCACACCTCCGCCATGCCTTTTCTTTCAGTGTTCCAACCACTCATGAGAACTTTAGTCTCCATTTCCTTCCCAGTTATCTTTTGTCTACTCCTTTCTCTCAGCCCCTGTTTCATAACCAAGTTTTTATCTTACTCTGGCTTTCCCCCACTGCTCCTGCTGCCCTGGAGGTGTCCTTAGATTCAGGGAATCAGGGGTGGTCAGGGGGTCTAATTCATCACGGGGGAGCTTGGTGTAACCGTCTCAGGTTCTCCATGCCCACAGGCCCTACTGTTGCTCTCCCTACCCCCCAAGTCCTCATCCACCCTAAATAGCTATGACCTGAACGAACTTGGGACCGACTCTCCTGGCCACCCAGCAAAGGCACCTAGTATTGGGGGACTCACGTTTCCGAAAGCCAGGAGTACGGAGTCAAAGTACAGGAGTATCCCGAAAAGGATGAAGAAGACACCGAAGCCGGTGACGCCCACACCAATCTCTGCAGGAAGCAAGGAGAGCTCTCAGGGGAAGGCTGGCCAGGGGCAGGAAGCTAAGCAGGAGCTACTGGGTTCCTGGGAAGCTTTTTGTCAATGCTGCTTCTTCCTGACCACATAGCACACTGTCTTCAGGATTGAGCCTCCGCTGAACACAATCACCTGCCTATTCTTTGCTACAGGTAGTGCTCAGGAACCATACCCAGTGAGGAGAGAGAAGGCTGGAGGCTCAAGACCCTGGATGGCTCCTGGATCCCTCCCCTCTGTGCCTTCTCCTCCCTCCTCGGCCCTCAGTGCTGACCTGCCATAGGGAAATAGAAGCCATTAGTTGGGAATACGCTCACCCTCCTGCAGCAGTGACCTGCCCACCCCCAGTCTCCTCTAGTTTCAAATCAGTATTAGCTCACAGGGTTGACTGCCACAGTGTCTCCACCCATTAGCAATGTACTGTGGGCATCACCAAAGACCACAGGGGTTAACAAAACCAATGAGCAGGAGGCAGAAGTGTGGAACAGTCTGGACACCTTGTTTGGTCAAGGGTTATACTCTGGGCGTGTGATGTGTGCTTCTGAACACTCCCTCCAGAAATAACAGACAGGACACGTGGGTTCTTTGGTCCTTCTCATCTCATATGGAAGTGTGGATTTGACTCTCTGCCACTGTCATAGGCATCAAATGACCATTCATTATGCTATTTTTTTCTTTTTAAACTACATTAACCATTGGACTGGAGAATTGGCTCAGCGGTTAAGAGAACTGGCTGCTCTTCCAGAGGGCCTGGTTCAGTTCACAGCACCTATATGGCAGCTCACCACTGTCTGCAACTCCAGTTCCAGGGTACCCAACACCCTCACAGAGACATGCAGACAGGCAGAATACCAAGGAACATAAAATAAAAGTAAAGGGGGCTGGAGAGATGGCTCAGTGGTTAAGAGCATTGCCTGCTCTTCCAGAGGTCCTGAGTTCAATTCCCGGCAACCACATGGTGGCTCACAACCATCTGGAATGAGGTCTGGTGCCCTCTTCTGGCCTGCAGACATACACACAGATAGAATGTTGTATACATAATAAATAAATATTAAAAAAAATATTCTAAAAAAATAAATAAAAGTAAAAAAATTAAACATAAAAAGTTACTTCTGTTTGAAGTACACACACACACACACATTTGAAATTCTGTTTTCAAAGCTGAGTGTGTTAATACAGGTCTGTAACATCCCAGCACTTGGGAGGTGGAGGCAGGAGGATCGTGAGTCCATGTTGTCCTTGTCTGTTTGAGATCACTGTGGGCTACAGAGCACCTTTATCAACAAACAATTTTTTTAAAAAAAATCTTTCACATCTTTTGGTTTCTACCCAGAAGTGGGATTTCTGGGTCACATGATAACTTTTCTCTCTGGTGTTTGAGAAGCTTCAGTGCTGTTTCCCAGAGTGGCTCGTTCCTTTCACTTTCCTGTCCCCAGGGTACAAGGCATCCCACATTCTCACTTTAAAAAACTTATTCCTAGTTTTATTTTTATTTATGTATATGTATGTGTGTCTGTGTGTTGTATGTTTGCATGTCATGTGTGTGGGTGCCTGCAGAGACCAGGTTTTTAGCCTCCTGGCCTAGGGGCTGGGACATGCCACTCTCCCTCCACACTGTACGATGTTTCTCCCCTAGCAGACAAGGTACCCACTCTCCAAACCATAAGATGCTTCTCCCCTAGCAGACAAGGTACCCACCCTCCACACCGTACAATGTTTCTACCCTAGGAGACAAGGCACCCACCCTCCACACTGTACGATGCTTGGCCCCTAGGTGATAAGGTATCCACCTACTACAACCATGCAGATTGGGCATGGTGGAAGACTACACCACGTTTCTTTAGTGGGAATGATAAAGATGTTTGGGATTTGTTGCAGTAGTGAGAGTTGAATACAGGGTTGTACTCCATGTGCTAGACAAGTGTTCTATACTAGGGCTACATCCAACCCGCCTCCCAGACACAGTCATGGTCTATAGCCTAGACCTGCTTGTTTGTGACAAAATCATATATATCATGTTAAAAAAATACGTTATCACCTGGGTGTGATGACACGTGCCTTTAATCCCAGCTCTTAGGAGGCAGAGGCAGGCGCATCTCTGTGAATTATAGGGTGGCCTACAGAGTGAGTTCAAGGACAGCCAGGGCTACACAGAGAGACTCTGCCTGAAAACAGCAGCAATAACAACAACAGAAATCTGTTATCTCCTTACACTGGTCTATGACTGTCCTATGACTCCAATCTCATAGGACGCCCTTCCTCCTACGTGGAGACATGATATGAGTGTGGTTTTGCTCTTTGTTTTGTTCTGTTAAAACACCTGTTTTTCTGTCCTGTGCACCCTTAAGAATGAACTCGGGTTTGTTTGTCTATTTGTTTTTTAAAGAACGTAAGTTTCTCAGGTTTGCTTTGTATGTCTTTCTGAGGAGGATAGCAGAGCCTGGCTCTCCAGTCCACACATTCCTGACCTTGAGTCACTGCTGCTTGCTTCATAGAGAAACAGGAACTTGAGTCAGGAGGCCAGGAGAGGCTTTCAGACACGGAGCCATCCTCATGAAAGTGGAGGCCAGGAGTGGAGGGATTGATTAGGCTAACCAGCCACAGCTGTAACCTCCTGCCCCGCCCACTGGGTGTTCCAGATGTGTGCTGGTGTCATCAGAGGTACCCAAGACCATTCTAGGGCCCTGTCAAGATTCTGAGAACCAATATGAGGAAACTCCCTGTGGCAAGCATCCGGAAGTGTGAAAGACTGTGACCCAGGCCGGGTGGTGGTGGCGCACACCTTTAATCCCAGCACTTGGGAGGCAGAGGTAGGCGGATCTCTGTGAGTTCGAGACCAGCCTGGTCTACAAGAGCTAGTTCCAGGACAGGCTCCAAAACCACAGAGAAACCCTGTCTCGATAAAACAAAACAAAACAAAACAACAACAACAAAAAAAAGACTGTGACCCACAGACACGGCCAGGTGAGAATTTATGCCCTGCTCAGGGGTGTGTGTCTGCACCCCCGAACTCAGGAGGTGAGTTCAAGATCAGCTTGGGCTGACACCAAACAAAATGTCCGATGTGGTGCGTGCTGCAATCCCAGCCTTAGGAGGCAAAGGCGGGATAGTTACTTCAGGTCCGAGACCAGTCTGAGCTATAGAGTGAAATTCTCTTTCAAAAAACCTAAACCAACCAACCAATCTCTCTGTCTTCTTATATACATATTACAAATACTTAGGAGAGTTCCCCTGCCTCAGCCTCCCCAGTGCTGGGATTACAGGTGTCTTCCACTGAGTGCGGCTCTTTTTTTTTTTTTTTGTTAGACATCTTTTCTAACAGTGGTTTGAGCCTTGCTCTCTGGTTTGTCCTGTGCCCTTTTTTCACAGGTTGATGCCATTCCAGAACTTTTCTCTGCTGAAATCAGCCTTTTTTATAGGCCGTATTTAGTTGTTTCTGGCAGTCAGCATCACACACAAGCTCACAGACAAGTTAGGAGATGTTTCTCATACACAGCTTCAAAACGTCTTCCATCCTTTGCTTCTCCTGTAGTTCAGCGACTCAGTCATATCTGGGGAGGGGGACTTGCACCTGAAGTTCCTTTCAGGACAGCAGCCTGGCAGAGGAAGCGGTGGGTTTGGGTACGCCGTGTCACACAGATAGGCAGGAACAGCAGACTTGCTGGTAGATGTCCCGTAATCCAGACAGAGGTAGCAGTGCGCCCCCTGCTGCACAAGTCACAAAGCAGAAAGCAGGGAATAAGGCAAACTCTTGAGGACGGCCTGGCTCCAGGGCACCTCCAGGGCTCCAGAGACCTCCCTGGCTTCAGACCGGCCAGTTTGGAGTCTCCCTATGTTGAGCGTTATCTTGCATCTGAGTCCCAACTCTCCAGCCTTGGGTCCCTAGGTCCTGTAGTTCCCAAACTGCTGCCAGAAGGAGCCCCCAGCCTGCAGCCCTTGGGGACAGGCCAAAGCCGGGTGCCCAGGGCACTGGTTTTCAGAATGCATCAGGCAAAGCCAGCTTCAATCTCTTTTTTTTTTTTGCTGCTTGGCATTGTCGCCTGGAGCAGGTGGGTAGGTCTCTTTGGCTGAAGCTTGTGGAAGAAGTAAAACAATGTTCATTGTTTCTCAAATTCTGTATCCTTCAATTCCTGTGCTCTTCCTGCCTCCGCCTTCGGAGCAGCCAAGGCTACAAGAGGGAGGCAGCTGGTGGTCTTTCTCTCTTTTACAATCACAAAGGTGCCAAAATTTCTAACTCCTCTACTAAGACTCTTTTGTCCTCATACCACTCCTGAACCTTGTGGAGTGTCCTTCCCTTATCCTTCAGACAGACAAGATACAGATGTCAAAGCAGGAAATGAACACATATATTTCTATTCTCCAGCCCTCGAACTCCACCCAAACTTTACCTATGCGTGCCCACAACAACATTCATGGGAAGAGACTTCAGCTCGTCAACACGTGGCATCGTTAGCGTGCCTGTCTGGAATACTTCTACAGTCGGAACTCAACATGACCTTGGTCTTTGGAAGATTTAGAACAATAGTTTTGTAGCTGGTCCCTTCATAGGGTGTGTCTAAGAGTCCACTGGACTGGCAGAGCTATCTGCCAGATGATATCAGGTACACTTACAGTAGCCTGGGGTTGAGCCTGCTTCTGGCCTGATACCACTTTACTCTTTACTCTTCAGGCGACACACTGGATCCTCCTGTATGAGGACCCTGCCTCTACCCACGGGAGCACCCATCTTGGCTACCCACTCTGCCCCACAGGCTGGGGCTCTGACAGCCCACTCTAAGTACCCCTTCGCGGTTCGTCAAATGTTCGAGAGGAAGAAGGGGAGTTGAAAATAGTGATGGACAGCTGATGCTCATGCCACAGTGGGCACTGCCCATATCTTAACTTGACATAACCACCTGTGAAGGGGCTGTGGTTAACTCCACTTCACAGAACTGAATCCTGAGGATTCACAGGAACACTGCCCGCCCAGGCCTGGATACAGCTGAGGCTTTGAAAAGTGACATTAACCTCTTCTGCATAAAGTGTTCATGCTTTGGCCATTAATAACCTTCAGGTAACCAAATCTCCAAGCAGGTGTCAGTCCTTGGCAGCGAGAGGCAGGCCACTCCTTGGTGGAAAGCGCCTCTCCTGGCTTCCAGGATACGTCCTGATTTTCTTCCAGCTGTCTAGCTGTCTCCCCACTCCAGGGCTCCCCCACCCCGTTTGCCAGCACCTACTTTCTTTCTTTTATGATCTCACTCCCTCAGGGTTTGGGCCCAGCTCCGGTCTCTCCTCACTCTGTTTCCACGCGCCTGCCCGTGTTTTCAAATGCCGCGTGTGTGCCAACAATGCCTACATTTATCTCTCCTGCCCAGCACTCAGCAGATCCCGCTGCTGGCTTGGCTGCTGGCTTGTTTTCCTTGCTGGCACTCAGCATGCCTCTGGTCCCAAGCTGTGATCAGCCTCCCTTTCTTTATCCTCACCTCCTGTGAAAAGCGGCTCCACTGCCACCGGCTGCCAAGCCACTTGAGGCGCCTGCCACCCTCCCTGTCTAATCCACTTTTAAGTCTTAGGCGGCTGCTTCCAGAAACATCCGAAAACTGCCATGCTTCTCCCTCGTTATGTCACCCCTAGCCACCTCTTCTCTCTCCTGGACACCCCACCCCCACCCCCTGCATGGTCTTCCTTAGTCTCCTGTTTCCTGCTTGCCACCATTCCCATCCCCAGTGCTCCTTCACCCAATGCTCAAGGATTGAAAACATACCAGCTGATCATAGAGCACCCTGGTCATTCCACCCACTTGGAATGAAGCGGGGACCCTTTCCTATACGTGCCTTACAGATCCTATGGGGGGAGGGGTCAAGCTTCTCCTTCTACCTTCTCTCAAACCCACACACTCCTCTTACACCATCGCCTTTGACTTCCGAAGATGCCCGTAGTTTCCTGCCCCAGGACCTTTGTAGATGAGGATTCTTTGTGTGGCACACTCTCCTCACGCTTCTAAATGCCAGCTCCTCGGGGAAACCTGTCCTAGCCTGTGCTCTGACATCAATCTAGTTCTGCCATTTCTCCCTCTCACAGGACTAAGTATCATTCTTAGGACTTGTCACAGCCGGATGCGAGCATACTGTCACACTGGAAGGCTGATGAGCCCGTCAGCATGCCCCTGTCTCAGGACTCCGGATTCGTCATCCTTTCTCCCCCTTTTGATTCACTGGGTTGCAAGGTGGGAATGCTGGGGGAGTGGTTTGGGTGAGCTTTGGTGTGATATGGAGACAGTTTGATTGTCACAAGGGAGTGGAGGTTTGGCTACTGTCACCTGGTGGGTGGCCAGAGGTACGGCTAAAAATTCCTTAGTGCCCAGGGCAGTTTCCCACAACAGTAACGGCTGCATCCAAAGGCTCAGGGAGTGGGGAGGCTGAGAGGCTCTGCCCCAAGGATCGGGGACTCCTATGGCTTTAAGCAGCAACTATATACATGTTGTTGATTTCTCTGTCTGGACAAGTCTCTCTATTGAAGTTCATGCCCTCTCATCCCTGCCTGGATATCTGAGATATCTGAGACAAACATACCCAGCCTATTCAAATCTGGCTCCTGCTTCCCACTTACGGATCCACTTTCCAGTCTGCTCCCCAGGTACCGGGGAGGTATCCTTGACTCTTCATCACTTCATGTCTCACATTCCATCTTCCAGCAAATTCTTCCAGTCACACAGGACCACCTCCTATGTCTGCACTGCCACACCCTGCCTCCTTCCTTCTCTCACCTCAGAACCTCCTCTTCTCTGCTATCCTACCCTCTACAGTCTAGTCTCGAGAATTCCAGCAACCAGAGCGAGCTTCTAAAACGCCGAGAGGCCACACCTCTCGCATAGAGCTCACCACAAACCTTCCCATCTCTACAGTGGTCCACCTTGGGCTGCCTTTCGGGGACTTCCCTTACCCAAGCTCTTAACCTTCCACCTGTGAAGTCTCAGTCACACCAGCCTCTTGCTGGACCTCACACACCACAGATTTTATGCCTCAGGACCTTTGTGCTGGCTGCTCCCTCTTCCTGGTACAGATGGCTGCACAGACTACCTTCTCACTTCCTGTAGTCCTCTGAGTTAGGGCCTTTTCCAGCAAAGCCTTCCCTGGTCAGTGGAAATGAATCCCCCAACACACACACACACACACACACACACACACACACACACAAACACATACGCTCTTCAAACTCCATGGTTCCTTTACTCTGTTTTGCTTAAGGATGGAAGGGGGTTCTTATTACCATCTGACCTACTACACAGTCACTTCTTCAAGAGCTAATGGCCGGCCTTCCCTTGCTATCAGGTAAACTGGAGTCCCGCTTGCCTTACTCTTAGTAGTTTATTCTGTGTTGGCACAGTACTTGGCATACATTAGACAGTTACCATAGGGTCACTGCAGAGCGAGTAGGCTCAGAGGCCAAGCAACTCACCCAGCGACACCTACATCTCTGTCCTCCCTGTGGCTGAGCCACTCTTCCCAGGCAGTGGGCTGCCACATCCCTGCTCCCCTAAAGAAGTGGGGATGCATGGAGTGAGGACCACAGACTAGGGCCACAGGAGACCTTGAGGGTTTGAGGAGATGTCTGATTGAGCAGAGGTACCCTCGTTTTCAGAACCGTGGGTGATAGGGACTCAGCCTGCCGTGTGAACTTGGCCTCTAATGGCCTGAGTTCCTGGCTGGCCTCACCCTCTACAAGGCAGGGGTCACACTCGCCCTGACCCTGCTGCATTGAAGATGCCAACAGAGCAGCTTCCAACTGCTGGTTCCAAAGGTCACATTTCTAGGTCGCAGAGGAAGAGCCGGGTTGGGAAGAACACGTGTGCACTCACCCTAGCAGGGACCCCCCTCTACAGCCCCACAAGCCTCCCCTCCCGCCCCTCCCCTCCCCTCCACTCACTCTGCCAGTCGGTGATGGAGATCATGCTTCAGTCCACTGGGGGCCTTCCTGATCAGCTTGCTAGGAGTGAGCCCGGAGGACCGATCCTGGGCATGTTCCTGGGAAGCTGACCCTTGGCAACAGTGAAGGAATCTCTGGTAAATCATTAACTCCCATCATTCCACGTTCCCCACACACAAATGGCTGCTTAAAGACACAGGCCTATTTGGAAACTACCATTCACAAGGCCCTTTCTGGCCCACCTCCTCCGAACAACTTGGTCTGGATATGGAAAGGCAAGGGTCTGGGCACGCCTGCGTTTTCTCACCTGTTTTGGTAGAGAGTATGGGAAGAGTTGGGATGGTGCCCCACCCTTTACCCTTTTGCTTTTTTTCAGACAGGGTCTCTACAAGCTAGTCTGGATCTCACTATGTAGACCAGGCTGGCCCTGAATTCATGAAGATCTGCTTGCCTCTGCTTCTCCAGTGCTGAGATTAAGGTCATGTGTCATGTGCCGCCACATCCAGCCTGGCTCATCTCTTTGAAAATGTGCTGATCATTGTTTCTTTTTTGTTTTTGTTTTTGGCTTTGTGCTAGTACACATGAGAAATGCTATGGGCCCAGACTCACTGATTAAAACCTGTAGCACACCTAAGGAGAGTCAGGTTCATATAAACCAAGGATGTAGGCGCCACACGGAGTTAGGCAGCAAGACTCCAACTTCCTTTCCCCAGCGGAGTCCTGATGGGATGGTGAGGTCAAGCTGGTGGCGAGCTGGTCTTAGGAGAAGACTGAACAGTGAGGGAACCTCTGCGGTTCACTCAGCAGTTGGGTATGCGTGGGCACATTCTTCCTTGCTCTGTGAGCCTGAGGAAGAGGTAGATGGGGGCCTCAAGGGCTAGGTCAGCAGTTAAGAACACTTGCTGCTCCTGAAGGGAACCGAGTTTGGCTCGCAGCTTTACATAGTGGCTTACAGTCGCCTGTAGTCCCTGTTCCGGGGGACCCAAGTCTCGATCTTGGTCTCAGCAGGCACCAGGCCTGCATGCAGTACACATGCATATATACAGGCAAATGCTTATACACATCAAATACATTTTAAAACGAGAGAAGAAACAGATGGTTTCTGATGACCTTCCCCCATTTTAGAGGGAACCGTAATCAGTTCCTCTTTATAATGTGTCCCTGATCCCAACATGAAGCTCCCAGATGACATGATTGACATCCAAATACTATCTGAAAACTCAAAGCCGTGCCAGAAAGGAACACAGACTCATTATGAGACGTGGTGCCTCTCAATATACAAAAGCTCAGACGAGGCCTCCCAGGAGATGCACATGGGGCTGGAGAGATAGCTCAGTGATTAAGAACACTTCCTTCCCTTCCGGAGGACCTGGGTTCAGTTCTTAGCGCCCACCTCAGGCTGCTCACTACCGCCTGTAATTCCATGTGACATAGACAGACAGGCACGCACTAAATAAATAAATAAAATTTCAAAAAATAAAGAAGACGCACACAAAACAGACAGGTAATTGAATTGTGCACAACAAGTGTCTATTTTTTTTTTTTTTGGTTTTTTTTTTGAGACAGGTTTCTCTGTGGTTTTGGAGCCTGTCCTGGAACTAGCTCTGTAGACCAGGCTGGTCTCGAACTCACAGAGATCCGCCTGCCTCTGCCTCCCGAGTGCTGGGATTAAAGGCGTGCGCCACCACCGCCCGGCTCACAACAAGTGTCTAAATGTAAAAGAAATAAAGCAGGGGTCAGGCTGGGTGTGGTGGCACCGCCTTTAATTCCACCACTCAGGAGGCAGAGACAGGCTGATCTCTTTTATTGGAGTCTAACCTGGTCTACGTAGTGAGCAACAGACCAGTCAAGGCTATTTAGTGAGACCTTGTCTCAAATACAAAAACAAATAACAAATAACCTTGAGTCATTTTATACAGAAAGGAAACCCCACATGTCCGTAAGCAAACAAGCAAAGCATGGTAGCACCCGTTTGTAATCTCATCCCTCACGAGGCTGAGGCAGGGGGAACTCAAACTTGAGCTCAGCCTGGGCTATCCAGTGAGGTTAGGGCTAACCTGTACTACCTAGTAAGATCCTTTGTTCTTCCCTGATCCCCCTTAAATACTAGGAGTGAGCAGTAGACTGGACTCTGACACTAGGAGCCACACAGACCTGTCTGCCCCACTGCTCTGTAGGCTGAGGCAAGAGGATCACACGCGCAAGGCCTCCCAGGATTAGAGTTCAAGGTTCAGCCTTAACAATTTACTGAGACCAGGTCTCAAAATAAAATACTTGAAAAGAATCCTTCTCCAGGGTCTAGCCTGGGAGGTATAGTCCTCACTTCAAGTCCAGGAAACTTTCTCTTTGTAACAGATGGTGACCATGACAGCAAGCCACAACCAATCAAATGCAGAGCTGTGGTGTTAGTTCCAATGGATACATCTACAAAACAACCCCCAAACCTTAAGGCTCAGAGAACAAAGATCAGGGAGTTGGTTGTGAGATCGTGTCTCCTAGGAATGTCAGAAGCTACACCCATAAAATCTCACCAACATCACTTCCAGAAAATGAGCTGAACAAGGAGGACACCAATAGGCATGCTAACATGGATGGAGGGGGAGGCCCAGAAGATCTTGATCCCATACGAAGAACAATAGGCAACTAAGAAGTGCTGAGAATGGTCCTCCCAGGAGGAGCACTCCAACTGACTGCTCAGTACCAAATGGTAGGCTCTGAAATATACAAGTAATGTTAGATAGACTGAGCAGGTTGTACTTACATGTTTAGGAATATATGTATATGTGTATATGTATGGGTGTGTGTGTGTGTGTGTGTGTGTGTGTGTGAAACAACAACTCTTGAAAACAGAGATCATGAATTTGAAAAAGAGCAAGGAGGGGATTATGGGAGGGTTTGGAGGGAGGAAAGGGAAGGGGTGGGGTGGGGCTAATGTAATTATAATCTATAATTTTTTTTTAGATTTATTTAGTTTATAAGTGTTCTGCCTGCGTGTATGCCTGCAGGTCAGAAGAGGGCACCAGATCTCATTACCGATGGCTGTGAGTCACCATGTGGTTGCTGGGAATTGAACTCAGGACCTCTGGATGAGCAGTAAGTCCTCTTAACCACTGAGCCATCTCTCCAGTCCCTCTATAAATTTTTTATTTTTTATTTATTTATTTTTTTAATTTATTTAACTTTATTTTATGTGCATTGGTGCAAAGGTGTCACATAAGATCCCCTGGAACTGGAGTTACAGATAGTTGTGAGCTGCCATGTGGGTGTTGGGAATTGAACCCAGGTCCTCTGGAAGAATGTCCAGTGCTCTTAACCACTGAGCCATCTCTCCAGCCCCCTCTATAAATTTTTTAAAAGGCTGGATCTGGGAGCGATGGATGACTCAGCAGTTAAGAACATTGGCTGCTCTTCCGGAGGACCTAGGTTCAGTTCCCAGCATGCACATGGCGGCTCACAACTGTCTGTAACTCCAGTTCTAGGACATCCAATACTCTTTTCAGGCTTCTGTGCACTGCATGCACAGTGCACAGACATACATACAAAATTCTCATGCACATAAAATAATAACATTTTGAAAATTAATTATAAATGGCTGGATCTATTAATTACACATTGGTAGAATGTTTGCCCAACATGCCTGGGGCTCTAGATTCAATTCCCCAGTACTGCAAACAAAGAAAAGCCCCAGGTAATTGCATCTAACAAGGGAAACAGGGAAATGACCCTGGGTGAAGGGGGATGGAGAAGAGGGGTGGATTAGAGAGGAAGTAGATGAAGAATCATGTGGCTCTGCAGGGGACATGGGTGGTGTGACGTCATTGTCACTACACAGAACGGACTTGTGGTGGCTCTCAGACTCACATCTGCCATCCCCAGGGGATTTAAATGGTTTCAGCGATCCATGGGCAACAGGGTTGGACTGAGAAGAACAACTATAAGGGCATCCTCGGGACAGTGTCAGAGAAAGATGGAAAAACCAACATCTACACAAAGCTTAAAAAGCTTAAAGACTCGGGACTGGAAAGCTGACTCGCAGATAAAGCTGCTGTGGACCCAGGTAAACTTGGAGGGAGAGAAGCAACTGCACAAGGCTGTCTGACCTCTGCACACAACAGAAAACTTAAAACTGAAGGGGAAATGCCAGGCAGTGGTAGCACATGCCTTTAATAATACCAGCACTCCAGAGGCAGAGGCAGGGGATCTCTGTGAGTTTGAGGCCAGCCCAGTCTATAGGTTCTGGGACAGTCATAGCTCCAAAAAACAAAAATAAAACCAAAAATTTAAGGGAAAATATAAAGAATGGAAAAAACGAAATGATTTTTTTTTTTTTTTTTTTTTTTTTTTTTTAAAGACAGGGTCTCACTCTGTAGCCCTGGCTGTGCTGTAACTTGATATATGTAGCCCAAGCTGACCTGGAACTCACAAAGATCTGCTAGCCTCTGCCTCCCAAGTGCTGGGACTAAAAAACATCTGACATCCTGCTTGCCTTTTTTTTTTTTTTTAAAGGATCACTTTTAATTCCACGTATGCTCTTGGGTGTGCCTGTGTGTGCACATTACTGCAGGTGCCTGTGGAATTGACGTTGTGAACAGTCTGTTTGGGTGCTGGGAACCAAATTCAGGTTCTCTGAAAGAACAATATGCATTTTGACCCACTGAGCCATCTCTCAAGCACATGAAATAATTTCTCAAAGCTTTCGTTCTGAGACCTCCGTTTAAGGGGTCTCTTAGTGATTCCTGTGCTGGGCTCCCCTCTGGGAGATATTCATAGCCTGTGATTCTGGGTGCTGGGCTCCCCTCTGGGAGATACTTGTAGCCAGCTTCTTTGCTCTTTGGCAACACAGCCTTGAAAGAACGCTCGGGTGTACGAACTGTTATAATACATGTGTTATATACACATAGAAGGGGTCGTTTGATAATTCTGAGATTCTGTCATATTCCACTTAAGTTTCTTCATCTTCCTGAGTCTTCTCAAAAGCTTAAAACGCACACGAACCTTTGACTAGTATGACGAACTGACTTAGGGTGAGCTTGTATGAGAAATGCGTTTTGGTCCAGGCAGACAATCTGATGCGGTTTGCGGAGGCCTGGAGTCTTGTTTTGGGAGCCTGTCCCTTGC